GCTCCCTCGGCCAGCAAGCCTTGCACCATATGTGCGAGCAACTGCTGGCCATATGCACACATAGCCGCGGCATCTGCGCTAGCCCAGGTGCGCTAGCATGCACCAGCTAGCCATAGGCACGGCTTGGTGCGTTTGCTAGCCACCATTCCCCTAGAAATCGGTTCGCTTGGGGCATTCCGATTCTAGGAGTATATTTTGGAATATGTTGATTTGTTATTTTTTCTCGTCTCGTCTTTTATTATTTTCCACTCAAATTCCGACGCTCGGTTTCGACGCTCTTAGCTCGAATTTTCGATGTCTAAATGTTAATTACTTGGGCGACTCATAAAATCCTTCCGAATTAATTCGTTTCTTCGGTTCTCTAGTTGCTTGTGTGTGACCCAAAGGGTTAAGTCAAGATTAAGCTCAATATTAATTATTCATTAATATTACTTATCGAAAGCGGCCTCCACCCAGTCTTGTAATGTAGCTTCTCTTACTGAGAGGACCTAGCCGCCTGAGTGTTGCCGTTATAATCCCCTATTACGGCAGACGTTTGACAACATCAAAGCGGACGAGTACTCAAACAAGAAAGCTCATAACACTCATGGTCGAGGAAATAGGTTCTGATAGCCATAATGAGAAGTATACTTATGACGAATTTTAATCTCTTAACGTATTCTCATAGGTCGATCCAGTATGGTTCTAAACCAATGCCTTTGCAAATGATTTATGACGATCATGTCCTTGTAGCACAAGAAACGGTGCTATAAATAAAACTATACACTAATATCAAATGGTCATTAATCGTCCATCGTTTAAATGACCTTGATAAAGGATAATTTTCGATTATAATATTCAAAGTTAACTTAATAGGTGTTTCCAACAATGACTTGTCTTGATACCCTATTTTGAATATTCTCATAATCAAATGGATACATTCTTTAATCCTATACCGTAATTAAATAGCAGACGGAGTGATAAAATTGCATGAAATTTTAAATTACTCCAAAACCTGAATGGTTCATCTTATGATTAATGGTTTTTTCGAATGTTTTAAGATTAACACTCTTTATAAAAAAAAAATTTAGAAATCACACCCATATCTAATATGCTTGATTTCTTTCATGAAATTGTGAATGTTGTCGTTCACTTATTGCATAGGTTTAGTTATAATTACTTTTCTAATCTTAGCATTTTCATTACTAATCACTTTCATAATAAGATGATAAAATTTTGAGAGTGCCATGGATTATACGTGATTTAGGATTTATTGTCCAAGTGATGGCTCCCACTCATTTTCATGATTGAGATCTTCAATTTGACAACCTATAATCATTAACGTTCAACAACGAACTTTCCATTGAACATCTTCTTTATTATCGCCTTTAAGGAAACAATATTCTCAACGTATATTTTAGTAGACTTCCTAATGATTCTTTTCTAGGGTTTCACTCCAAACAACTCAGAATGATTTGGGATACCCTAATCACTTGTGATCATGGAAATTTACTTTAAATTCCTTCACATTACACATGGATGTACGTCCATGTTACCATTCTCAAGCCATAATCCATTGTTAGCTCGTACTTATAAACGGCTTCCTTGTTAAGGATCTAATCCTTGTTAAGGTTTGTGCTTGTAACATTAATTCTCAAATCGTATTTGTTCCACAAGTCAAGAACTCATCATGTTCCTTATCCAAGTACTTTGGATGTTCATGGCCATAAATTAAAGATCTATTACATAGATTTTGGTTGATTGGTAATATATATACATACTTCACATGCTCTAAGAAAATAAGTCATGTGGGGATTCCATATCGTAGCTACATGATGGATTTAATTGTAAAATGATTATCAATCTTTGTCCACCCACGTTACATTTTAGCTCATCCAGTTTCACTGAGTCTTGCTAAACTGTTTGTTGTGTGATATGGTTGAAAGGCTTTACTAGAGTCTTTCTTGTTTAACTTAGTATTTAGCCTAGCTCCTACTTAGTTAAAACATTTACTTAGTTTTATACATACGAGTCGAAAGTCTTTCAAAGTCCTTCATTTTATGTTTAACATGGTAAATTCCTTTACACATTCAAACATTTTATTAAGTTTATATAATAGACCTTAATACCCAACATATACTAAGTATCGTCTTTTGCTTGGTCCATTGTCGAAAATACTTTCAAATCTAAGCATTTAGCATTTGACTGTTAATTTACAACAGAGTTCTTAAACTTATTATTGGACCTTACAAGATTGAATCTTTCTCCCACTAAACTTCTTAAAAATAAGAATTTCCATGTTTTGTCATAGTCAATCTTATTGTTCCATGTATGGATCCAAGGGTTCTGATGAGTGATCTTGGTCTCGTTGACAACCTACACAAGGCAACAAACGTTAACTGCCCTTGGAGGTGGCTTGAGGAACCCCCTTCGATGCCTAAGTTAGAGAGTGTTTAGAGAGAGAAAGTGTACTTGGAGAGAGATAGAATGTGTGATAACTTGTGTGTCTTATCCCCTTTCCGTAGTACTTTATCCTCTATTTATAGGTGTACAATCTCCCTTATAGAGAGTCCTTCCTGGTAAGCTCTGTGGGCTGACTCTATCGGTGTGGTGAGCCCCTCGTAGTCTTTCTTTAGCAATGAGTGCGCACCCCGGGAGCTGGGTTATAGTTTAGCAGGAGCTACCTTGTATAGTTATTATTAACTTTATGATAAAACACGTTCCAATTCCTTTATGCAATGCTTCCTTCAATCCTATAATGGATTTCTTGAGCTTGCTTTCACGTCAAGCATTGTTTAGGTTTTGAAATCCCTTATACTATTTTCATAGTCATTTCAAAAATCCTATTTTAGGAAGGAGGTTTTGTTATCTATTTTTCCATATTTCATATGTGCAATTTTGCTATAATAACAACGAATAGACTTGAGCATTTCGATTGGTTAGTAGGATTTTATTAAAATCATATCCGTGAGTTTAATTATATCTTTTTCAACCAATCTAGCTATGTATGCATATACATTTCCACATTTGTTAGTTTTATCCTTGAAAACTTATTTGCTTTTGATGGGTCTTTCACCCCTCATGCAAATCAATCAAGTTTTAAAGATGATTTTCAAACATAGAGTCTATTTTGGATCTTATGGCCTCTAACCATTATTTGGAATTTAGATTTGTCGTATCTATCTTACAAGGAATTATTCCCTTAATATCTAATAGTAAATAGTATGCTTGTAAGTCCTAGGTTTATTTCTAACTTAATAGAAAATTTATAGAATTCAATCCAAGCCTTTGTTGATTTCTATACCTATACGGGGTTATTGCATCAGACACTGAGTTTCATGGCGCTTCCAAAGCCCTTTGATTATCTTGATCTTACCCCAACGTTTCAAAAGTTTTGTGTGTAATGAATTCTTCTTTTAAGGCACTTGTAAAGTCCTTTAGAATATTCATGATCAAGTGTTCTTACAAAGCCCTTTTAAGGTCTTCCGAAATTCTCAGTTCTAGTTTATTGCTAATCTCGATGGTCATCGAGTTTATTTTCCTCCCACTTTTAGTTTTGAAATGTGTTACTTTCAAGAAAGACACCACTTAGTGCAACAAACATTATGTTCTCATTTAGGTTGTGGAGATAATTCACATAGTCTCACTTGAACGCTTATAAAGAGACATGTATATTGTCTTTTGGAAAAAAAAAAGTTCGTTGTCAAATAATAAACAGTTAGCTCCCACTTGAACTATCTTAGCCTTTAATGAGCTATTAAGCTCCCACTGAACCACCTAGCTCTCATTGAGGTAGTGAACTCCCACTATGTCAAAGGGTTTTAGTCATATACTTGAAAAGACGTTTAGAAGTTAATTCTATCCATAACTGAATATGGTGTCCTTTCTTAGCTCCAACATTTTGTTTAGTGTAGTATTAGTCTTTTGTGCAAATCTTTAAGAACTTTATAAGAAGGGATGTGATCCATCATTGTTCGAGTCATTTTTAAATGGCAACGAGGTCTTTGTGAAGACACACAATATTCTTTGTGGAGTTATTTATGAAAATTTCAATTTGATAACTTTGTGATGGTCATGCTTGGCTCAAGCAAACATCACTCGATCAAATCAAGACGTTTTTATATCTTTCCAAGTCGATTCGGTACTTCATTGAACTCTTCAACTATTTAAGGTCATGTTTTTTCACATTTAATGAATATAGCCATATTCTTTCAAATTTTTCGTGGAACATTTGAAATAATTGAATCCTCTTTAGCTTTTGGAGTCAATTTTCTATACCAAGAACAATAGCTCTTTACTTTATCGGTTTTTAACAAGTAAGACTTGCTTGTCTTAGAACGATTCCGAATCGATCAACTGTCAAGACACTATATAGCCTTTGAGTACGTTCTTGTCAATGTGACATTTCTAAAGATGTTCGGAACACAAATCATGCCTATAATTTGAACTTTTGTGAGTTTTCATGTTAGGAAAATGTTTGTTTATAATCAAGCATTCTTAACTCATGGTTTAGACAACCATGCCATTCAGATAAATTCGAAACTATTGATCTTCACTCTTAATGTGAATAATCAAGCATTAGTTAGCTCATGATTAACGAATTGTTTGCTGATTATGGAACATGATAATCATTTATTTGTTCAAGCCTTAGCTTAAAAGGTCTTTCAACAAAGCATATGACCATAAAACTGATTTAGCACCACTTGTTTCCTTCCAACACTACTACAAAATAGGCCAAAGAGACCCGTCCAAATAAACAAAAGAGACTGCCTTAGAGACGATCTCTAGCTAAGTAATCTCTTTGGCAAAGAGACTGTTTATTAGGGGCGGTCTCTAGAATAAAAAAGTGAGACTGCCTATTGAAGAAAAGCGATATCTAGAATAGGAAAAGTGAGACCGTCTATTGAAGAAAAGCGGTCTCTTTTTTTTACAAAACTTTGACCGCTTATTGAAGTTAGGCAGTTTCTTTTAGAACTTAACCGGTCTTTTCGTGTCATTTAAAAAAATTACAAAAAAAAAGCTTATTTAATTTAATATTTAATATTTAAATTTCAAATTATATGTACATTTAACGTTTTATTCAAATACGAAGTATATGGTGCATACAACAAATAACACAACCCAACGTACAAAGTATCAAACAATCTTTAAATCCTAATACGCATCTTTAGCATGAGCTTCAAATATTCATATCGTGTTGGACGGTGTATTTAGCTTCGAATATGAACTTACCCACTTCACATGCTCATATGCTCATATGCTCATAAGCTGCAATTAAAAAATAAAAAGAATTAGGTGAAAAATTCAAAGATCCTACCCAAAAAATTGTAAATAACAACTATCTTCGTCTAAAATCCATAAATTCAAAGACATAGAAATTAACTTCCCTTAGAAAAACTACTTATTCCAATTGAACCGATAAAAATCATTACTATCAAATAACTTACCAAAAATGAAAGAAAAGCATATAAAAAAAATACAACCAATTTGCTGAAATCAAACCTCTCTAATTAATAAGATAAATGGAAATAAATTGTAATGTGAAAGAGATACGACTTTCACTTTCAATTTACTCTTCCGTATGGACAATGTATGGTAATATAAAAGTATAAAACAACCTTTTCAAGGTGAGATCTAGTAATTTTTGAAACTATTATTGTGATTTTGAGATGGATTTTGATCTAATTTAAAAACTGTAAACGAAAAGATAATTTTAGTGCGGTATCACTCGAAAATTATTAAAGAAAATGAAAATATCAGTCCGCTCCATAAAATTATCTCCAAAATTTAAAATTTTAAATTTAAACTATTCCCTAAACAAATTACACAAACAAAATTTAGAAAAATTACACACAAATATCAATTTGAAAATCTGCAAATTCATAAATATAATTAATTATAAAGATAACATGAAGAGGAGAGAGACATACAAACCTTAGAAGCCAAAGAGAGAGTATTGAGTGTTTGGATGGGAGCAAGAACGAACTAATTGAAGACTTTGCCGCCGCAAGGTGATGATGACGGAGGTCTGCAGTAGAGTTGTAGGCGGCGGTTGGGCTGCGACGAGGAGAGAGAATGGATGAAGGTGAAAGGCGGTTGCATGATTTGCATCAAAATAGAAAGAGAAAATCAAGGGAAGGAGGATACAGCAAGAAAAAGTAGGTTGGAGGCTGGAAGCAGGAAGCTACGGAGTAGGGTTTTAAGGAGAAGGGATAATTAAAAAAATAAGAGGTCATAGCTAACAAAACAGGCTTGGGGTAAAGAGAATTAAAAAGAAACGATATATAAGAAGAATAAAACAAGACAAGAGACTGCCTAACTTAATAATCAGTCTTAAGTTTTAGATTCAAAGACCTGTTTTTTTAATAAAACATGTCTCTCTTTTATTAATTTTTTATATATAAAAAAAAAGAGACCTGTTATCTTTAAAAAAGGGCCTCAATTATTTTTTGACTCTCAAATCTAATACCAAAGAGACCCGTTATTTGTATCATTGGGTCTCCTGAATCAAAGAGACCGGTTATTGAATAAAACGGTGTCTTAGTTTGGGTCTCTTTGACCATTTTTGTTGTAGTGTAAGCTTGTAAGTCAATAACTTAGCTTATCTTCAATAGTTTAAGGTCACTTTAAAAGTGGAACACTCAAGCAGTATCTAATACTTGTGAAGATAATAACTTGCTAAGTTAAGTAGAATAACATGAACTCTTTAGTATAATGGAATCTTATTTCTTTTCTTTGATCCTCGATTCCTATAATTGTTATCATACTTTATCTCATAATATTTCAGAATAATTTCTTTAAGACTCTTTGACTTATATACTTTGTTAGGCATAATTAAGAATCTAATGTGTCACATAACAAAGTTCCATGTTTTCCTTTATTTCGTATTACATCAATGAGTTGTACTCACCAATGTATAAAGAAAAAAGATATGTTAGTTGTCAAGCATTGAAAATTTGTGTTTCAAATTCAATATTTCATGTTTATAAAAAATACCTAGTATTTTTAATACATGATGTCCAACCGTCCTTTCAGACTTATAAAAGTCATTTATGAGAATTGAATTTTTAGAATTGCCTTTCCTTTCTTTGAGAACCATTCTCAAAAATTTCCTTTAACAATCATGGGAAACAATTTACTTTTATTTGGAATTCTACAAATATAAGAGCAAAGTATAACCATTTATCAAGTAAATAACATAATAAGTTTTAAAATTAAAAAGTATTCTTACAAATTTTCAATCTTATTATATATCTTATCCACGCATTAAATTTTTCCCCATTTGGCGAGAATAAGTCGATTCCAAGATCTAAAGAAACAAAGAGTGGTTAAGCATGCTTTGTCTTAGCTTAACACTCAATCTCTTAAGGTAAGCAACTCTTTGCTAATGGCTCCAAGTCACTCTTGGTTGAATAAATCGTCTCATCTAAAGCTCTCTCAACAATTTATTCACTTTGCCACGACATGTTAGGACTCCATCACTCATATTGTTGAGTACAACCAAAACCAACTTGTATGCGATACGTATCCTAGGGAATAATAGTGATGTGTCGCTTTAGCGTAGCCCATCACTACTCTCAATAGGTCAATAAGTGTTGTTTTGGAATAACAAAATTTAATCAATTTTAGGGACCTAGGGTTTCTATGTTGGTTGGTTTAAGTGAACTTACCTAATCATCCCAACATTAGAAATCCTAAACATGCATCTAAAATACAATTCATATATAAATACTTATAAATATATGTCAAAAACATAAATAAAGATGCATTTGGCAACTAGCATGACCCCTTGAATCTTCAAGTCTTCAAGGGACAACTTTTGCAACTTCATGGCTTTGTCTTCCAAGAATCTCCGTCTTCAAGACATGACCATAATTACGCAAACACTATAATCTCTGATTAGGACTAATTTAAGGGACAAAAATACTCAACGGCGTAGATCGTATTTAGATTTCCAAAAATACATCACAAATCACATCCGTATTTTCTATCCTAATCGGACCCCACTAATTGCCATATTATAAAACCTGTGAGAGAATATACATTTTATTCATCCATTCACTATTTGTGAATGGCCCATGTGTAGGCGTCATTCGATGTGCGCCTACGTTAAAGCATGTGTGACTATGCTTGGCACTTATAAGAAGTGGAAGTTGAAAACTACGATTAGGGACAACGATTAGGGACAGGGAAAGTAGGGTGCCACCAACAAGTTTTTAAGGAACTTGTAAACCATTCACGGATCATTTAAGACAACCACGATTAAGGGACACTCCCACAGTTCCTTAGGGAATGGATGGCGATGCCCTAGAGACCGAGCCTCGCCCTTCTTCGAGTAAGGGCAGGTGGGTTCCACCTCCATGGTCTCCAGATGAGTTGGTTTTCTGCCGTGAGGACCATGTTTCTCACCGTCCACTTGCCGGCATAGTCGATGGCACGATTCGCCATCATGGATCTAGAGCTGGAGATTTGGTTCCTCGACTTTATGGGATTATCACGAGAGATCCTGTTACGAATGCCTTGTGGGAATCTGCTGGTTTAGTAGATTTTTATTCGGCGGTCGTAGGGTTTTGCAGCCCCCGGGGTTGTGGCTCGATAGTCGTTCACGCGTTGTTGGAGTATTTTTGGGATACTACCAACACTTTTCACTTTACTTGGGGGAAGATGACAGTGACCCCTCTGGATTTTAGCATAATCAGCGATCTACGCTTCACCGATCGGGTCGTCCGGCGATTTTCTAACCTTAGTTAGGGGGCGGCCAAGGTAGCAGATTTGTTAGGTCCGGTCGTTCAGCACATCAGGACTCAGCCGGTGTCTCGAGGTGGTCCCAAGAGCAGGCGATCAGAGTTGGCTCCTGTTCTGTCCCGTGGCTTTGATATGGATGAGACATCACCTGAGCAGCGAGTGCGGATCTTTATTTTGATTCTCATTTCCAAGGCTCTTTCTCTTGACAGGTTTTCGCGTGCGCTCGCTTGCTATCTTCCTTCTTTGGTTAGGATCAGTGTGATAGGATCCTTTAGTTGGGCCAGCCTTGGATATGCCGATCTTCTCTTGTCGCTACGTCATGGCTGTAGGCAGCTGAATGACCAGGCCCCCGTCACTGTCTATGGTTTATGGAGAGTCGTAGAGGTGACCATCTTTCCTCTTCTTGTTTTGTTTTAATCTGTTTGACTCATGTGCTTAGAGACTACGTTTCATTGCAGCTATGGTTCTATGAATACTTTCCGGGATTTTCCCCTCGACGGCGTCGTGGAGCGGTCCATGACTTCCCTTTAGGAGCTAGCTGGCAAGACCGAGGCGATTCACGAGTGGAGTCTGTCCCTACGCTACACGGGCTGTTACGCCGAGGCACCTCTTCTATTGGTGTAAGAATTGATTTTGTATCCTGTTATTCTTTACCTTGGCGTTATTTTCGGCGTTTCATTGCAACGTTTTATTGTATTCAGGTTACTATTGATATCCAGTATCGGCCTTGGGCAGGGATGACTAATCTTCCTGAGGCCTTGCACCTTTCGGGGTACCGTACTATTTTGTTGGTACTGGACGCTTTGTTTGGTACCTTGGGGAGCGTGTTGCTCGACAGCACAGTGATGATCTCTTTGTGGTACCCTTTCCTCCACCGGAGTCGATGCTGGAATCTCGTTTGCTTAGGGAGTTGATAAACAGTGGAGAGCGCTACACATTTCCTTGGCAGGAGCTTGTGCGTATGGAGGGCGATTATTCGCAGGACTTGCTTCCTTCTTTGGCTCCTCCACCCCGTCTTTCTGAGGTATGATTACTTTTGAGAATTTTGTCGCTAGTCTTTGTTTGAACCGTTGAATAACCTGATTATTTGATCATATTTTCAAACGATTGTTCGCCGTGTGGGGAAAATTGAGGTCCCGCCTCAATTTGTACGCTATCCGCGGCCGATTGGTATTACTGAGGATCATATTGCTGATGCGCCAGAGGGTTTCAGACAGGCGTAGGAGTCTTTGCCTGATGCGTTTGAGCCGGTAAGATTTTTGACACATTATTCATCCTTTTTAATACCGCTTGTTACTAAGTTTTCTTTACATTGTTCTCAGCCTACTCACCCGGAGATGATGGGATTCATGAAGCTGGTTGACGCTTTGAAGTACTGCATCATCAAGCTTCGGCGTGGTGCAAGTTGTCGGGGCGGTTCTGGCGATGTTCTTGAGGTATGTTCACTTCTTCTTTTTTTCATTTTTACCATTTGTTCTATCTTGCACCATTGACATCTTTTGATTTTGTGTCTTTTAGGAGCGATGGAGGTCCCGCTCGTGCTCGTGGCATAAAGGCACGGACGAGGGGGAGCCTAGTCGTGGCAGACGATCTCCTGAGGTTCGTCGGCATTCTCTGTCTCAACGGGAGCCTCAGCTTTCTCGGCCGTTTCAAGAGGCTCAGTGGCAGCAGCCTTAGCCTTCCCAGCCATTCCTGCACTTTCAGATGTTGGGGTTTAGTGAGTCCGACTCACCGCGGAAACAACCCCGACCCAAAGAACCACTCGCAATTAATAAAACCATAAAGCATAACAAATAAACATAAAATTAAAATCGGAATTTACCTTCAAATTCGAGCTCTTACTTGAAAGTTTAAGCTCCGAAAATACGCGAGCCTCCTACGAAAATCCACCCACAAAAACTACTAGCGAATTTTAGGTCCGTTACCTCGAGGTTAGCAAGGTCCAACCAAAACCCGAGTTTTATATGAGTTTAAGAGTTTTTGCTAATGCAATGCTCTATTGAACTCCTACTCAAGCACTCTTCCCAAAAACCCAAGATGGGTATTTATAGGCAAGAGGGAGAGTGGGAATTTCTTTCCAATCAATGTGGGAGTCATGAAATCCCACAATTTATTTTAAAGCTAAATTAAAATAAATAAGAAAACTATTAATAAATTTACAAGTGGCACTATCATATGTAAAAGGTGGTGAGGACCACATGGAGAGTAGGGGACCACACTTGCTCCCCACTCAATACTCTCCTTGTGCCACATGTCCTTCACCCCACTTGCTTCCATATGCTCTCACTTGCTTCCCCTAGTACTCGGCCCTATGGCCCAGCCGCAGCCCAGCCCCGCAGTTGATGTTGCGGGCTGTTGCTATGGCTAGCAAGACACGCACACAAGTGCGGGCTGTTGACCCTTGCCTGCGCTGCTAGCTGCTGCTAGCACACATGCTTGCGGCTGCTAGCTGCTGCTAGCATGCGTTGCTTACGGCTGCTAGCTATGGTGCGCTAGCACGCACTAGTCGGCCATGCATGGCTCGACTTGGTGCGCTTGCTAGCCACCTATACTAGGACATTTTTGCCCCTAGCACTCGGATTCTCGGGGCACTCCGATGGTAGGGGTATTTTGGGAATATGTTCGATTTATTATTATTTTACGCGTCTCGTCATTTACTATTTTTTACTCGACTTCCAACGCTCGGTTTCGACGCTCTAAACTCGAATTTCCGACGTCTAAATATTTAATACTTGGGCGACGAATTAATTTCTTCCGAATTAATTCGTCGAGTCGATTCGTTTATTTCTATGGGTGTGACCCAAAAGGGTTCATCAAGATTAAGCTGTAATATTAATTATGCATTAATAATACTGGTCGGAAGCGGCCTCCACCTAGGCATTCCGATCACTTGACCTTAATGAATATATTAGCTTTCTAATAATTCTGAACCCACTAACGGAATAGTACACTTGTTCGAAGGACACCATTCCTTTCAATCTCCCACTTGTCCTTCCGGACATGTGCACATTTAGTGTACGGTACACCCTTTTTCCTATGTCGTTTAATGTCTATTCATGAACTATTAGGTAAGATTATTTCGTCATCCTTATTACGTCCAGAAGTGTTTCTCGATTCCGAGTCCGACTTTCAATAAACAGATGATTTCTAAAATCCATCCGAGCACGGCCATGCATTTTTACAGTCTCGCTCTACGAGAGGCCTTGTATACAACAAAGACATCTTCCCTATTTTAGTAGGAGGACTTTCCCAGTCTTGTAATGTTGCTGTTATAATCCCTATTACGGAAGATGTTGACAACATCAAAGCGGACTAGTACTCAAACAAGAGAACTCTCAATTCTCATGGTCGAGGAAATAGGTTCCGTTAGCCATAATGAGAAGTATACTTATGAGGATTTTTAATCTCTTAAAGTATTATAATAGGTCGATCTAGTATGGTTCTAAACTAATACTTATGCAAATGATTTATGACAATCATGTCCTCGTAGCACAAGAAACGGGGCTATAAATCAGACTACACACTAATCTCAATTGGTCATTAATCGTCCATCGTTTAAATGACCTCGATTAGGATAATTTTCGATTATAATATTCAACCGTTCAATTAATAGGTGTTTCCTTACTAAGACTGGTCTTCATACCTTATTTTTAATATTTCAAGAATCGAATGGAATCATTATTTAATTCTAAACCACAATTATATAGCATACGGATTGATAAAATTGCATGAAATTTTAAATTACTACAAAACCTGAATGGTTCATCTTATGATAAATGGTTTTTTCCGAATGTTTTAAGAGTATCACTCTTTATAAAACATTATAGAAGTCACACCTATATCTAATTTGCTTGATTTCTTTCATGCAATTGTGGATATTGTCGTTCACTTATTGCATAGGTTTAGTTATAACTACTTTGCTTATCTTTGCATCTTCATTACTGATCACTTTCATAATAAGATGATAAAATTTGAGAGTGTCATGGATTATATGTGATTTATGATTTATTGTCCAAGTGGTGGCTCCCACTCATTTTCATGATTGAGACCTTCAACTTGAAAACCTACAATCATTAACGTTTTGCAACGAACTTTCCATAGAACATTTTCTTTATTATCGCCATTAAGGCAGTAATATTCTCAACATATATTTTAGTAGACTTCCTGATGATGCTTTGCTTGGGTTTCATTCCAAACGGCTCACAATGATTTGGGATACGCTAATCACTTGTGATCATGGAAATTATCTTTACATTCCTGCACATTACACTTGGATCCACGTCCATGTTACCATTATCAAGCCACGACTCATTTTAAGCTCTTGATTATAAACGACTTCCTTGTTAAGGATATAATCCTTGTTAAGGCTTGTTCTTGAAACATCAATTCTCAAATTGTATTTGTTTCCACAAGTCAAGAACTCATCCTTTATTATCAAAGTACTTTGGATGTTCTTTGCCATAATCTAATGATCTAATACGTAGATTCAGATTGACTGGTGCTATATACATACTTCACATACTCTAAACAAGTAAGTTGTGTGACGATTCCATATCACAGCATAAGTGATGGATTAAATTGCAGAGTAATTCTCAATCTTATTCCATCAATTTGTTGTTTTAGCTCATTTAGCTTCACTGAGTCTTTGCTAAACAGTTTGCTGTGTGATATGATTGAAAGTCTATATTAGAGTCTTCCATGTTTGACTTAGTATTTAGCCCAGCTTATACTTAGTTCAAACATTTACTTAGTTTTATACATACGGGTCGAAAGTCTTTCAAAGTCATTCAATTCATGTTTAACACGGTAAACTCCTTTACACGTTCAAACATTTTATTAATTATATACAATATAACTTAATACCCAATACGTACTAAGTATCGTCTTTTTCTTGGTCCATTGTCGAAAAATACTTTCAAATCTAAGCATTTAGCATTTGATAGTTATTTCACAACAGAGCTCGTAGACTTCTTATTATACCTTTATTTAATTAACTTTTGCTCCCACTAAACTTTTTATTCATAAGAATTTCTATGTTTCTCCATGAGTCAATCCTCTTATTAACTTCATGAGAAACGTTCCAATTCCTATATGCAATGCTTCCTTAAATTCCATGACGGATTCCTTGAGCTTGCTTTCAAATCTAGCATTATTTAGATTTTCAAAACCCTTAGACTATTCCGTAGTCACTTTCAAAATCCGATTTTAGGAAGGCGGTTTTGGTATCTATTTTGTCATATTTCATATGTGAAATTTTGCTAAAACAATCACGAAAAGACTTTGGCATTCCGATTGGTGAATAGGTTTTTATTTAAATCAACTCCGTGAATTTAGTTGTATCCTTTTCAACCAATCTAGCTATGTATGCATATACATTTCCACATTTGTTAGTTTTCTACTTGAAAACTTATTTGCAATTGATGGGTCTTTCACCCTTCATTCAAATTAATCAAGTTTCAAACATGATTTTCAAACATGGGGTCTGTTTCGGATTTTCATGGCCTCTAACCACTATTCGGAATTTGGATTTGTCGTTATTCCTTTATTATCTAATAGTAAATAATATGCTTGTAAGTCTTAGGATTATTTCTAACTTAATAGAAATTTATAGGATTCAATCCAAGCCTTTAGTGAATTCTATACCTATACGGGGCAATTGCATCAACCATTGAGTTTCAAGGCACTTCCAAAGCCCTTTTATTATGTTGATCTTACTCCAACATTTCTGATGTTTTGTGAGTAATGAATTCTCTCTTAAGGCACTTGTAAAGTCCTTTTGAGTATTCTTGATCAAGCACTCTCACGAAGTCCTTTTAAGGTCTTCTGAGATTCTCAGTTCTAGTTTGTTTCTAAGCTCGATGGTCATCGAGTTCATTTTCCTCCCACTTGTCGTTTTGGAAACGTGTTACTTTACAGAAAGACACCACTAAGAGCAACAAACACTATGTTCACAATTAGGTTGTGGAGGTAATGCCTATGGTCTCACTTGAATGGTTACAAAGAGAAGAGACATGTATATTGTCTTTGGGTAAAAGTTCGTTGTGATGAAATAAACAGTTATCTCCCACTTGAGCTATCTTAGCCTTTAATGAGACATTAAGCTCCCACTCAACCATCTAGCTCTTGCTAAGCTGGTGAGCTCCCACTCAGTCACTTAGCTCCCACTGAGCCAATGAACTCCTACTGTGGCTAAGAATTTTAGACATATACTTGAAAAGACATTTAGAAGATAATTCTATCCATAACTGAATATGGAGTCCTTTCTTAGCTTCGACATTTTGTTTAGTGTAACATTAGTCCTTCGTGCAAATCTTAAGAACTTTTTAGGAAGGGATGTGATCCATCATTGTTCAAGTCATTTTTAAATGGCATCGAGGTCTCCGTGAAGACACACTTTGTTATTTGTGGATTTATTTATGAAAATTTCAATTTCATAACTTTGTGATGGTCACGCTTGGCTCAAGCAAACATCGCTTGATCTAATCTAGACGTTTTGATATCTTGCCAAGTCGATTCTGTACTTCACTGAACTCTTGAAATAATCAAGGTCAAGTTTGTTCACATTTGATGAATATAGACATATTCTTTCAAATTCTTTATTAGACGTTGAAGTAAATGAATCCTCTTTATCTTTCGGAGTCGATTGTCTATACCAAGAACAATAGCTCTTTACTTTTTCGGTTTCAACAAGAAAGACTTGCTTGTCTTAGAACGATTCTGAATCGATCAACTATCAAGAGCCTATCTAATATAGCCTTGAGTACATTCTTGTCGATGTGACATTGCTAAAGATGTTCGGAACGCAAATCATGCCCATGAATTTGAGCTTTTGCTAGTTTATCATGTTAAGATAATTTTTGTTTATAATCAAGCATTCTTGACTCATGGTTTAGACAACCATGCCATTCAAATAAATTTGCAACTATTGCTCATTGCTTTGAATGTGAGTCTTTCTGTGTGTAAACGGCTCAATTGCTGATGATGGAACACAATAACCATTTATTTGTTCCATCATTAGCTTAAAGGTCTTTAATTAAAGCATATGTCCTTACAACTGATGTAGCACTAGTTGCTTCATTCTTAGCTTGTAAGTCGATAACTTAGCTTATCTTCAATAGTTTGAGGTCACTTTCAAAGTGGAACACTCAAGCAGTATCCGACACTTGTGAAGATAACGAATTGCTAAGTTAACTACAATAACATGAATTCATGGGTTGAAATGGAATCTTTTCCTTTTCTTCGTGTTCCTCGTTTCCTATATTTCTTATCATACTTTATCTCATAATATTTTAAGAACCATTTCTTTAAGAGTCTTTGACTTTTATACTTTCACTACTATAGAAGGAGTGTATTTTCGACGGTATAGCCTCGACGCCAGAGCAAGAGCGTCAACAGCTAATTGTGATACTGTTGCCCTCACAAAAACTACAAAAAGCGTCGAGAGCACTAACATGTGGCCCTCACGTGCATTTAATTAGCTGTACCGCATTCTCAAAAACCACGCACCTAACATCACGAAACCCACCTACTCCTCATTTTCGAACATCACGGAAACTACTCCATTCTATTTTCCTTAATTCGATCTGAATTCTTTATAGAGATTCATGGACTCTTGGCCTAGAATTTGAATTCATATTTCATTCTTTCTTCTTTCGTTTCATATTTCTATCACAATAATTTATTTATCATGCCAAAATTATTGTCTTTGTATCAAATTTGAGGGTTTGTAGAAAGTTGTTTTGCGACAACCATTTTTCCTGCTCTCCTCACAGGTTACATTTTTACATCAATCTTTGTTCATTTTCAACTCTTAATAGGTATAAATTGCTTTTATTTGTTAATTTTTTGTGTAATTTTAATTTATAGTTACAAGTTGCAATTACCCAATCTCGTTTCAAAACCTAGGTTATATAGATCTTGTTCAATTTCCGTTTCTTCAAATAAATCTCTTAGTTTCTAGATATTTTCTTACACATTAGTGATTTATTGGATTGCTAATTCATCTGTTTAGATTTATTTCTATATGGTAAGTAAAACTGGAGATTGATTTAATTTCATGTGTTTTCTTTGATTAATTGGGTTCAAGGTTGATGTCTTCCATATAGCTCTGTCAACTATTGTTTTGTACGTGGTTAAATCCATGATTCAATATTTTATAAATTAGAGAGAAATTTTTAGATCATAAAAATTATACTATGAAGTTACGGGTTAGCAGTAGATGAACTTTGATTAAATTCTACTCTGAGCTGAATTGTAGAATAGTTTCTTTGAGTTGTACGATGAAACAATTTCGGTGTGGTCCTTGTCTTGGAATGCCAGTATATATGGGATATCATGCATGTAAGTCAATGTTAGGCAAGCATTTACCAATAAGTTAGGTATTTTGTTTATATTAATTTTTTTTTCAAATCTCATTGTTCTACTAAGCAATTTTTAACGAGTTTGAAGAAGTTTTAATTACTTTATGATGCTTTTGCAAACTTGAATTGAATTGATGAAATATATGGCCTTTTTTTAACACGCTATAGAGTAGTTCTTTGCAATTTACAGTTCCAATTGATGTTAAATTCATTGTTGTTATTTTAATTTTAAACTAAGTATTTTTGAGGTATCTTGAAAATGTTAATGATACTAGGTTTAACATGATTCTGGGTAAGTCTTACATTATTACTATTTCAATTTATTTTGTTTTGTTAGTTCATTCTTTCAGAGTAAAAATTATTACTCCATTTTAGAGCTTCATTCATATTCTAGTTGTAAAATAGGCATCTATTTTCAATCCAGTTTTTAAAAGAAAAACAATAAATTTATGTAATAAAAAAATAAATAATACAATCATGGATCATTGACTTCCAGTCAAATTAGTTGTAGGTGAATCAGATAACCAATGGATGTTACTTTGTTAGCGGGGCTGCCATTTTGTGCTTCAGTATAAATAGTTGGAGAACTACCAATAAAGTTCTGTTTTCCTATAAATATACATGGCATTAATGCATCTGTTCCTCTACTTGGTTGTGTTGCAGGATTTTGAATTTTTTTACAAGTGCCTGAGAGCTTTCAAAGCCCTTATTTCATTTGCTGGAAATAAACTATTGTTGGAAACGTGGTCTAGGCTCACTTGCTGCTAGTGGTGTCAAGGATATGAGGGAGAATGTTTTGGAAGGAATTTTGATTTGCTTCCTTCCTTTCCTGCTGCAATTACTTCTATTTGAGGATTACAGATATAATTCATTGATAATTTTTTTAAAAGGATGATAATTCTTTCTTGGCTTCTTTTTCCTTACACATTTTTTAACTCTAACATCAGCAAAAACAATAGCAGAAGTGCAGGCACTAGTCCATTGGAAAAACTCCATGTCTAATCCTTACTCGCTCAAATCATGGAGACTTTCGGATGCCCAAAGTCTTTGCAGTAGACTGGCATTGTCTGTGACAACCTTAAATCCGTCACCAACATCGACCTGAACAATTAAAGCCTCAGCGGCACACTCATCAACCTTGACTTCAGTGCATTTCCTAGTCTTACAAGCTTATCCCTGAATATCAACTAGCTGCAGGGTCAAATCCCACCAAGCATTGGTAATCTTTCTCAACTTACTCACTTAGACCTCAACAATAACTTGTTTGTAGGTGTTATACCTGATTAAATCGATAACTTATTACAGCTCGAGTATCTTGACCTGTATAATATTGATATAGCTGATGCAGTTCCTGTTGAACTTAGTAAATTATTGAGGTTAAGTTCCTTAGATATTGGATCAAATAAGCTTAGTAGTCCTGATTGGTCAAAGTTTGCTACGATGCATTCGTTGACCCACTTGAATTTTTGATACAATAATTTTAATGGAGAGTTTCCATGTTCATATCTAGCTGCTGGTTCTTGACTTACCTCGATCTCTCAAATAATAAATTTAGTGGGGTGATCCCAGAATCCTTTTATACCAGCCTTCCTAAGCTTCCTAAGCTTTGGTTTCTTGATCTTAGTTATTGGATCAAATAACTACTACATTTTGGTAACTAGTTTATCTTGCTAATGAAATTTTATCTCCTGACATATTTAGAGTGGGTGTTGTGACTGTTGTCAAAAGTCTTCCTTTTCTTTTTCTGATTTATGTTACTTCTCTTTCATCATTTTTGTGCACAAGCAATCTCGTGGCTATGGAAACAATAACTGAGGATGATTTCTGATTTTCCTAGCTTTATGATAAATGTGGTGGAAGTTGGCGCAACTATACAAGCTATGCAATACCGAGCTTTGGAAAAGATTATCCTGACACATGGTTTGCTTCCATCCATTTTTTACTAATACGAGTCTTCTAAAAATTGTAGCTGCAATTTTATGTATATTACTCAAGTTGTCATTAGTATCATACTGAATTACTGATATATATTGGCTTTCTTAGTGGAAACTTGTAGTTGTCTCACAAAAGGATCTTAATGGAATTTGGTCTGGTTTTATCTAATTGAAGATCCTAGCTTTTATAACTACTCCGCTGATTAGTTAGTGTGCTCAAATTTGATACTATTGGCATGCTCTTAGATCGAGTTTGCTAACTTTCTGTTTTTGTTAGATTTGGTGGCAAGTCCTCAGTTCTCAGTTCTCAGCTAGTTTGCTTACTTTTTGTCATGCTTCATGGAGGACTAGCGGCAAGCTAAAATAACTTAACATTTTTATTAAGGGCTTAATCTTTATCTGATTGTTGATACTCTCTAATAAAATGCTCTTGCAATTCTGCAATTTTATTTTTCAGCAAACTGAAATAGGATTATAAATAGCAGGGTTGGGATGATATCTTACGCAGGAGTCATGAGAGGACTTGAATATTTTCCTACATCCAAACCAGGTATCACTGCACATATTTACTTGGTTTCATTAGTAGTAGTATTAGTAGTAGTATTAGTATATATATGATGATGTGTACTACTCAAACAGTGAGGAGCTATAGTTACATGTTCGGTTATTTGATTATCTACTATAGTTACCTGTTCAGTTATGCTTTTTGCTTTTGATAGGAATTGTTATTTGCAAAGATCTTTTTATCTTGTAGATCTCGGTGAGGAATTATGAATAGAAGCTATTTGTATATAAGTATTTCTCTAAATTAAAGACAACTTAATAATTTAAAATTCAGTCTTTGAACTACATGTCGTGATCGTTATATTGATGAGATATGCATATAAACAAATTGATGGATTCCAAGGTGAATTTGGCAGCTGTTGCATGGTAAAAAAAAATTGAATAAATAAGTGAATTAAAAGTAAAAGTTGGTTAGATGATAACAAATACTAAGAGTGAAGGGATGGGTAAAGCAAATACAAAGAGTGCCACAAACTTGTCCTCTTTAATGTGCTCTTCACACTTTTGCCGTTCAGTTTCTAGTTTGTGAAATCAGAGCTAAAATCCAGAACTGAATCTAGAACTAAATTTCAGAACTGAATTCAGAGCTGAATTTCAGAACTGAATTCAGAGCTGAATTTCAGAACTGAATTCAGAGCTGAATTTCAGAACTGAATTCAGAGCTGAATTTCAGATCTAAAGTTCAGTACTAAAAATCAGATTTGAAATCAGAGCTGAATTATAGAACTGAATTCAGATCTAAAGTTCAGAACTGAAAATCAGATTTGAAATCCAAACTAATATTCAAAATTCTTGTGTGTGTGTGTGTGTGTGTGTGTAAAATTCAGAGTTTGTATGTGTGTGTATATAAGTGTCGATTATCCTTTTTATTAGCTTTGTCGTTGTTTATCTTTACTTGTATACTTGTTGAACGTCAGTTAAATTGTTTTATCTATGTTTAATACTTTATATTTTATATATTTATCATTTGTGCAGTTCTATGAAAGTTGAAGTTCTGTGCTATCAAGATAAAGCCTCAAGTATCTGATTTAGTAGATACTAATGAAGCCAAAGTAGAACAAATTTAAACCCTATTCACCTTCTTCTTCCTTTTCGACCTCTTATATATTATTCGCTGCTTGAAAAGGTGTAGTTATAGAAAGCTAAACATGCCAAGGGGATCCCTCAGCTCTTTCAATTGTCTGACTTTGAGATTGAGTGTTTATTGGATAGCTTCCATTAAAGATGTGATTAAATCTGATCTTTTTTTGCATACAGCTTCCATTCGGGATTTCAAACTATGGGCTACAATGTACTCTGCCTTTTTTGAGGATTCTTTATTAATCTTAGGCTGTAACCTACATCTTTAAATCTGCAAAATGTTGCTAGCTCTATGCCAGACACTAACAGGCTGTCTATATTTTTTTTTTAATGTGTTGCTGCTCATTTTACTGTTTTTGTAAAGGGTTGAAAATTAGTTCTAGTGAACATTGAATATTTAAGATGGACATGTATGCATATTTTGTAGCTCTTTGTTCCCCTGCTACTTACTAACAGAAGCTTTTTCCCATAAAATGTACCATGATAATATGATATACTTAGCTGTGAATAGATAAACTATGATACAGTAGTGTTTGTATTCAAATAACTTTACTATGTCGTTTTCTATTTATTATAGTTGTTTACATAATTGTAGAATTTTATTTTGTTGATTTGGTGTTTAGTACTCATCTCTGATTGTTTATTGAATTTGATTACAGAAGCTGGTGACTTTAAACTGTTTGCAAGAGAAAAAGGAAGTAGACTTCCATTATGGACTTGTTGGTATTAAAGAAAAAGCAGATTCTGATCCTGCTAGCTTTAAACCTATCAAATTCCATTTATATATAGGATTATTTTGTTTTAGTTCTTAGGCTTGAAATGAACACATTTGGTTTACTAACATTTGGGTTGGGTTGGTCTTGGTGCTTGTGTTGTTAATGATGAAGATGTCAATATTGTTGAGCTGTAAACTTATTTGATAGGTTGTTAATACAAGGTGTCGTCATTCCCAAATTAATGGGTAGGCCTATATACAAAGGAAACTCTGTCGAAATTCTTACTTGATTTTATTTTTAAAATTTTTTGTCTCGCGCTATTATATTATACGAAGGGATACAATTGATGGCAAAATATAATGTTGTTTTAATGTCTGGTATTTAAAAAAATGAAAATTGTCATTTGAATCACTCTTTAAAAAAGAAGCGACGTAAACAGCTCATTTTCTCTTTCTCAAACCAGTACATTTGTGTCACTCGTATATTAAAGAAGTGACGCAAATAACAGAATATATGTAATTAAAAAGAGTCATTTGCGTCACTCATTTAACAAACGAGTGATACATATAACTCTTATTTGCGTCGCACATTTATAAACAAGTGACACAAATAAGGAGCGACGCAAATGACTTTGTAGTCATTTGCGTCGCGAGCAGTTGCGTCGCTTATAGAAGCGACGCAAATGCACGCTAAATGAGCAACGCAAATGAATGATTTTGTACAAGTGAACGAACTTTTACCCAAAGACAATATACATGTCTCTTTGTAAGCATTCAAGTGAGACCACGGGCATTACCTCCACAACCTAATTGAGAACATAGTGTTTGTTGCTCTAACTGGTGTCTTTATAGAAAGTAACACGTTTCCAAAACGACAAGTGGGAGGAAAATGAATTCGATGACCATCGAGCTTAGCAACAAACTAGAACTGAGAATCTCGGAAGACCTTAAAAGGGTTTCATGAGAATACTTGATCAAGAATACTCAAAAGGACTTTACAAGTGCCTTAAAAGAGAATTCATTTCTCACAAAACTTTTGAAAAGTTGGAGTAAGATCAAGAATATCAAAGGGCTTTGGAAGCGCTTTGAAACTCAGTGTTTGATGCAATAACCCCGTATAGGTATAGAATTCACCAAAGGCTTGGGTTGAATCCTATAAATTTTCTATTAAGTTAGAAATAAACCTAAGACTTACAAGCATACTATTTACTATTAGATAGTAAAGGAATAATATCTTGTAAGATAGCTACGACAAATTCAAATTCCGAATAATAGTTAGAGGCCATAAAAAAAATCCGAGATAGACTCCATGTTTGAAAATCATGTTTGAAACTTGATTAATTTGCATAAAGGGTGAAAGACCCATCGATTGCAAATAAGTTTTCAAGGAGAAAACTAACAAATGTGGAAATGTATATGCATACATAGCTAGATTGGATGAAAAGGATACAATTAAATTCACGGAGTTGATTTTAATAAAAACCTATTACACCAATCGGAACGCTAAAGTCTTTTCGTGATTGCTTTAGCAGAATTGCTCATATGAAATATGACAAAATAGATACCAAAACTGCCTTCCCAAAATAGGATTTTGGAAGTGACTATGGAATAGTCTAAGGGTTTTGAAAATCTAAATAATGCTAGATTTGAAAGCAAGCTCAAGGAATCTGTCATGGGATTAGAGGAAGCATTGCATATAGGAATTGGAACGTGTTTTCTCATAAAGTTAATAAGAGGATTGACTTATGGAGAAACATAGAAATTCTCATGAATAAGAAGTTTAGTGGGAGCAAAAGTAAAGGTCCAACGAGAAGTTTACGAACTCTATTGTGAAATAACTATCAAATGCTAAATGCTTAGATTTGAAAGTATTTTCGACAATGGACTAAACAAAAGACGATACTTAGCACGTATTGGGTATTAAGTTCTATTGTATAGACTTAATAAAATGTTTGAACGTGTAAAGGAGTTTACCGTGTTAAACATGAATTGAAGGAATTTGAAAGACTTTCGACCCGTATAAGCTAGGCTAAATACTAAGTCAAACATGAAAGACTCTAATAGAAACTTTCAACCATATCACACAACAAACTGTTTAGCAAAGACTCGGTGAAACTGAATGAGCTAAAATGACAAATTGATGGAATAAGATTGAGAATTACTCTGCAATTTAATCCATCATGTACGTTATGATATGGAATCGTCGCAAGACTTACTTGCTTAGAGCATGTGAAGTATGTATGAAGCACCAATCAACCTGAATCTATGTATTAGATCGTTAGATTATGGCCAAGAACATACAAAGTACTTGGATAAGTAACAAGATGAGTTCTTGACTTGTGGAAACAAATACAATTTGAGAATTGATGTTGCAAGCACAAGCCTTAAAAAGGATTAGATCCTTAACAAGGAAGGCGTTTCTAAGCACGAGCTAATAATAAGTCGTGGCTTGAGAATGGTAACATGGACGTGGATCCATGTGTAATGTGCAGGAATTTAAGGAAAATTTCCATGGTCACAAGTGATTAGGGTATCCCAAATCATTGTGAGCCATTTGGAATGAAACCCAAGCAAAGCATCATCAGGAAGTCTACTAAAATATATGTTGAGAATATTATTGCCTTAATGGCGATAATAAAGAAGATATTCTATGGAAAGTTCGTTGCTGAACGTTAATGATTGTAGGTCGTCAAGTTGAAGGTCTCAATCATGAAAATGAGTGGGAACCATCATTTGGACAATAAATCCTAAATCACATATAATCCATGACACTCTCAAATTTTATCATCTTATTATGAAAATGATCAGTAATGAAGATGCTAAGATTAGCAAAGTAATTATAACTAAACCTATGCAATGAGTGAACGACAACTTTCACAATTGCATGAAAGAAATCAAGCATATTAGATATGGGTGTGATTTCTATAATGTTTTATAAAGAGTGATACTCTTAAAACATTTGGAAAAACCATTTATCATAAGATGAACCATTCAGGTTTTGGAGTAATTTAAAATTTCATACAATTTTTATCACTCCGTTTGCTATTTAATTGTGGTTTAGAATTAAATAATGAGTCCATTCGATTCTTGGAACATTCAAAATAGGGTATCAAGACCAGTCTTGGTAAGGAAACACCTATTAAGTGAACGTTGAATATTGTAATAGAAAATTATCCCTAATCAAGGTCATTTAAACGATGGACGATTAATGACCAATTGAGATTAGTGTGTAGTCTGATTTATAGCACCGTTTCTTGTGCTACGAGTACATGATTGTCATAAATCATTTGCACAGGTATTGGTTTAGAACCATACTGGATCGACCTATGAGAATACTTTAAGAGATTAAAAATTGTCATAAGTATACTTCTCATTATAGCTATCGGAACCTATTTCCTCGACCATGAGTATTGTGAGTTCTCTTGTTTGAGTACTAATCCGCTTTGATGTTGTCACACGTCTGTCGTAATAGGGGATTATAACGGCAACACTCGGGCGATTAGGTCCTCTCAGTAAGAGGAACTACATTACAAGACTGGGAATGTCCCCTTACTAAAATAGGGAAGATGTCTTTGTTGTATACAAGGCCTCTCGTAGAGTGAGACTGTAAAAATGCATGGTCGTGCTCAGATGGATTTTAGAAATCATCTGTTTATTGACAGTCGGACTCGGAATCGAGAAACACTTCTTGATGTAATAAGGATGACAAAATAATCTTACCTTATAGTTCATGAAGAGACATTAAGCGACATAGGAAAAAGGGTGTACACTAAATGCGCACTTGTCCGGAAGGACAAGTGGGAGATTGAAAGAAATGGTGTCCTTTGAACAAGTGTACTATTCCGTTAGTGGGTTCAGAATTATTAGAAAGCTAATATATTCAGTAAGGTCAAGTGATCGGAATGCCTAGGTGGAGGCTGCTTCCGATCAGTAATATTAATTCATAATTAATATTACAACTTAATCTTGACTGAACCCTTCGGGTCACACCCTTAGCAGTAAACGAACCGACTCAACGAATTAATTCGGAAGAAATTAATTCATCGCCCGAGTATTAAATATTTAGACGTCGGAAATTCAAGCTTCGAGCGTCGAAATCGAGCGTCGGAAGTCGAGTAAAAAATATAAATCACGAGACACGCAAATAATAATAAATCGACAATATTTCCCAAAATACCCCTAGCATCGGAATGCCCCGAGCATCCGAGTGCTAGGGGCATAATGTGCTAAGCATTGGTGGCTAGCATGCGCACCTAGCCAAGCCTAGGCTGGCTGGGGCATGCTAGCGCACCAACGCTAGCAGCTTAAGGCAGCCACGGCCGCAAGCAACAGTAGCAGCCCGCACAAGGTGTGCGCGGCTTGCTGGCCGCAAGCAGCTGCAGCTCGCACAAGCGTGCGTGGCTTGCTAGCTGCGAGCAGCAGCAGCCCGCATCACCTAGGTGCGGGTGGTGGGCCGTGTGCAATAGGGGAAGCAAGTAAAGGGAGGGTTAAAGGTGAGGGACATGTGTCACAAGGAGAGTATGGAGTGGGGAGCAAGTATGGTCCCCTACTCTCCAAGTGGTCCTCACTTCCCTTTACATATAATAGTGACACTTGTAGATTTATTATTAGTTTGCTTATTTATTTTAATTTAGCTTTAAAATAAATTGTGGAATTTCATGACTCCCACATTGATGGGATAGAAATTCCTACTCTCCCTCTTGCCTATAAATACCCATCTTGGGTTTTTGGGAAGAGTGCTTGAGTAGGAGTTCAATAGAGCATTGCATTACAAAAACTCTTAAACTCATATAACACTCGGGTTTTGGTCGGACCTCGCTAACCTCGAGGTAACGGACCTAAAAGTCGCTAGTAGTTTTTGCGAGTGGACTTCCGTAGGAGGCTCGCGTATTTTCGGAGCTTAAAGCTTTCAAGTAAGAGCCCGACTTTGAGGGCGAAGCACGCGACAAAGGTAAATTCCGATTTTATCCTTTTATGTTTATTTGTTATGCTTTATGATTTTATTAATTGCGAGTGGTTTTTTGAGTCGGGGTTGTTTCCGCAGTAAGTTGGACTTACCAAAACCCCAACACTAGCAAGCTACGGCCAGCAGCCCGCACATAATGCGTTGCTTGCTGGCGCACTGCAGCTAGCAGCCCGCACATGTGCGAGGCGTGCTAGCAGCAGCCTTCCGCAACAGCAGCCCGCACATGTGTGCGTGGGCGTGCTGGCCGAAATTGGCTGGCAGCCCGCAAGTGCGGGGCTTGGCTAGGTTGGGTAGCTAGGGCCGTGGTCATTGGGGAAGCATGTGAGGGAGGCTTCAAGTGTGAGGGACAAGTGACACAAGGAGAGGAAGGAGTAGGGAGCAGGTATGGTCCCCTCCTCTCCAAGTGGTCCTCACTTCCCTTTGCATGTATTAATGACACTTGTGGATTTATTATTAGTTGCTTATTTATTTTATTTTAACTTTAAATAAATTGTGGAATTTCATGTTTCCACATTGATGGGATAGAAATTCCCACTCTCACTCTTCCCTATAAATACCCACCTTGGGTTTTTGGGAAGAGTGTTTGAGTAGGAGTTCAATAGAGCATTGCATTAGCAAAAACTCTTAAACTCATATAATACTCGGGTTTTGGTCGGACCTCGCTAATCTCGAGGTAAGGGACCTAAAAGTCGGTAGTTGGTTTTTGCAGGTAGATCTCCGTCGGAGGCTCTCATGTTTTTGGGGATAGAGCTTACAAGTAAGAGCCCAATTTGTGGGGCGAAACACGCGACAAAGGTATATTTCCTATTTTGCCCTTTTGTGTTTATTTTATGCATTAGTGATATTATTTATTGCGAGCGTGATCCTTGGCTCGGGTTTTTTCCGCGGTGAGTGGGACTCACCAAACCCTAACAACGGTATCGGAGCCCCGCTCGTTTATTTTTAATCATCATTTTTTTTCAAGGTATTTTTATGACTTATTTTTTCTGGTTTTAAGTTGCTAATTAGATGAGTAGCTCGTATTATCCATTTTAACCTCGTATTAGAACTGACTTCAGCTCCCGAACCCAGATTTCGACCCAAAAATAGTGAATTTTGGGTGGAAAAGGCGTTCTAGAAATGGTTTTATCCTTTAATTTTGCTTTTGGTGTGGTTTGCTTTTGAATTTTGAATATTTCATCTCTACACAAATTGGCGAAAAATTAATAAATTGTGAGTACTTACAATACTTTTTTTTTTAGATACGAGCTATCAAATAAGTGGAAAACAACAACAAATACAACAGATGAAAACAAACAAATACAATACTTTAAGAGCTTTCAAAAAAAAGAAAAAAAACAATACTTTAAGACCATTTGAAATAGCATGGGCTAAAAAAATTGATATGATACTCCAAAAAAAATAAAATAAAATTCAACCAACATAAAATTAGCAAAATTAACACAAAAATAGTTAAAGTCACTAAAATTTACTACTACAATTACATCAATAAAGCTTGAGTATTCTATTTTCTACAATGTCGACGACAGTCGGACAGCTGGTACTGTTGGTCACTATGAATTTCTGCATGGGTAAGCCCATTGCTCATTAGACACAGAATCAAAAAGAGATAAAGTGTAAGTTCAGACTTAAAAACTAAATTGAGTTGTTTAATGTTACTTGATAAAAGCAAATGTGACTAACATTTTAGGGCACCAAAAATAAAATAAGTGACTATCAAATAGGGACGGAGGGAGTATTACATAAAATCGGATCATTCATAAGCACCGATGCACTCTTTTTTTTTTTTTTTTTTTTTTTTTTTGAGGGGAAACCATAGAAATAGCATAAATTAAATAAGCCAAACGACACTTACAAAAATCAAGTAACCACTTCAAAGAACAGACCTCACGTCAGAAACATATTTTTCTCCTAATATACTTACTTCTGCACCGAAGAACATGCTGTAAATCATTGATGACGTCCTTGCGTATTTCCAAAATACATCAATCTCACAAATTCGTGCAGCATCAAAGGAGAAATAACAGTTCCGTTGCCGAATATTTGCTATCTTTCGTCTCTCTTGACCAATAGACCCTAAAATAGAAAAACCCCATAGAAGGGGAGAAACAACTCTCATAAAGAGAGACTCACAAATTCTCATAAAGAGAGACTCACTTATTGAATATATGTAAAACAAATATTTTAGGCCCGTGAGCCCGCCATTAATAGAGCGGGCTTGACCAATTTATCAAGCCCACATAAAAGGGCTTGGGTTAGCTACAATTAGCCCGTTGGACAAAAAATAAAGTATAGACCCGATCCGTTTCCCGTCTAAGCCCGCAAACGATTACCTCTATAGACTAAAGAGGGGATTGGGGCTTATTACCATGAATATTTCCATCCATAGCAGTCCCAATTTCTTTCTTTCTTTCTTTCTTTTTTTTTTTTTTTTTTTTTTTTTTTTTTTTTTTTTTTTTTGGGATTTTTGTGGGGGTTGCACCAAGCCACCAATACACTCTAGTTATTACCAATATCAAACATTTGAATTAAAATTCCATAATCTCCCATTCAACTTCTCATATTCACTCTCCTCCCTTGGAAAAACACTGGTTACTATCTCTCCAAAGCAATGAGGCTTCAATGGCGGCTCCTCCTCCGCCATCACCGTCACAAAATCTTCCCCTCACCACCATCCATTTCTCCCTCACTTTCTCTCTCCTCCCCACCTAATTCCACCCCATCAATTCACCATTCTTATTCCTCCTCTTCTTCTTCTTCCTCATGTTCGTCTTCGACGCCATCTGCATCGACCGGAACCGGCGGCGTGCTTCAATCCTGGTTATTCACTTCATCTGATCGCCATATCTCGTCTGCCAAAGCTAAATTAACCCATAAAGTTTCAATCTTGAGAGATGAGTTGGTTAAGGTTAAGGATGATTCTGAAGCTACTAATGAATTGCTCGAACAAATGGGTGTTTCTTTGTTTTCTTCTTACTATGATGGCTCTGCTTTGGTTGAGCTTTTGGGTGAACTTCGTGATTTTCCCTATTTAGCTCTTCAGGTGGGTCTTCTTTATTTGCTTTTAATTTTAATTAATTTCTAGGGTTTTCTATGTTAATTTGCTTGTTATTTGTTTGGTTTAATGTATATTTTTTTTGCTAGAGAATTAAATTTGTTTATGTTTGAGACCCTAGAATTGAATTTGTTTATGTTTACATGAACTTACTTTGTATTATAATTGACATGATGTATGTTTCCGATGGTGCATTATACCAGGAACTTATTAATTTTGTATGAATTTTCATGTTCTGCTTAATATGAGAATCTGGAGCTTTAAGAAAAAGAAATGATATATTCGAGGAAGATCTTGTTGTATTATTTGGTGATGGTATGGTTTTAGGATCCAAAATTAACAAGAAAAGCTATACTTCGTTTAGAATCTAGTTGTACTTCCTCCGTCCTATATTGCAGCGCTTAGTGTTTCATGCATTATCGTGCAATACTTATGATATTAAAGTCTTTGGTTCTATAAGTACAAATTGTAGGATGTTGACTATTTAAAAGCATATCAATTAAAGCCTTAATCCCATAAGTGGGATTGGCTACATGAACCAAAAGTGATTATTCCATGTAGTCATCAACATGATTTTAAAACTTGAAATATTTAGAGAACGGAGGAAATTATTATTTGTAAAAGCTTTAGATTTAAAGCATGTCAGGTGCAAATTTTTGATTTTTGATAAAAGTTTGTTTCTTATGTTAAAGGATGTTGGCTTTGCTTAGTGGCTTGGTGGTTTCAATTTTTTATTATAGGTTTTTAATTGGAGGAGAAAACATGCTGGCTTAAGCTTTCCAGTTACTAGTGAAGAGTATGCCAAGGTTATTATGGTTGCTGGTAGAGCTAGGAATGTTGAACTTGCTGTGGAGCTATACAACGAATCTACTAACAACGGTGTTAAGACATCTACTATTTATAATGCATTGATGAGTGTTTATATGATCAATGGTTTGCAAGATAAATGTCAATCTCTTTTTCGGGAGTTCAAGATGGAAGAATTATGTAGTCCTACAATTGTTACATACAACATTCTTATTTCTGTTCTTGGTCGCTTGATGTTGATAGATCATATGGAAGCTACACTTCAAGAAATATATGACTCAGACCTCTCCCCTACCGTGAGTACATATAACAATCTGATTGCTGGATATGTAACAGCTTGGATGTGGGATCAGATGGAGAACACCTATTGTATGATGAAATCTAGGAACATTAATCCAGATAATAACACGTACATGTTAATGCTAAGAGGCTATGCACATTCTGGCAATTTAGAGAAAATGGAAGAGATGTATGAACTGGGGGAACAACATGTGGTTAAGGATGATCTGTCTGTAATAAGAACCATGATATGCTCCTATTGTAAATGTCCTTCTGCAAATCGAGTTAGAAGAATTGATGAATTGATCAGGCTGATTCCCAAGGATGAATACAGACCATGGCTGAATGTTTTGCTTATTAATGTTTATGCTGATGAAAGGCTGGTTGAGAAGATGGAGAATTTTATCAATATTGCTTTAGATCAACACACTGCTGTCAATACCGTGCGTGTGATGCGTGCAATTATCACTGCTTATTATCATTCTAACGCTGTTGACAAGCTGACTAACTTTGTTAAGCGTTCAGAGTCTGCAGGATGGAGAATTTGTAGGTCCCTCTATCACTGCAAAATGGTAATGTTCGGATCACAAAACCGCCTGGAGGAAATGGAAAATGTACTCACTGAAATGGAGAAGATCAACATAGACCCGAGTAAGAAAACATGGGCTATTATGATCAAAGCTTACTCAAAATGGGATTCTAGATATAAGCTTGATCAAGTAAAAGGATTGATGTGCAAGTATGGATATGGTATTGCTTAAAATTACTGGTCTTCACGAGTGGCTATCATGTACCTTGCTTACTTGAAGAGGGGTCTAAGTTGTAAACTATAATCGGGATTAACATGGCATTTTGAAACTTGAGCATTACCTTGCCATTGTATGCAACAAGCCAACACTTCTCCAAGTGTACAACTTGAAGCTAGATTCTTATATTTGACAGCATGATATACTGTCATATGTGCTATTACTTGGTTTGTATGGGTTTTTAAAGTTTGCTTGCATCCACTAATCAGACATTAAAATTCTTTAAAACATATGTTTTTCATTAAAAGTTTGACTGTTGCTTTATTGGTTCAAACTATCTTATCTTGGTGACAATGATTTTTTGTACAGTTGAAGTGATAGCTATAGCAAGTTTTCCCAGTCATAAAACCAATGAAGTTGTTATTATAGACACTGATCCAAAATTCTATTAGAAGCCCGTTGAAGACTTAAAGAATTAGTCAATCAGTGAAATTGCTGAACATTTATTATTCTAGTTACTTCTTTAGACAATCCACAATCTCAATAATAAATTTGTACTGACCATTTAAAAGCAATATTGAATCTCCCTTATCTGTAGGTTTAATTTCCATCTATTAATATAACAGTTGTATGGGTTTACATTGGATTTAGTTTTCTGGGTTGTAAATATTTGATGGTCATGAATTTTTATTGGTTTGTGAGAATAGACAGGATGCGTTGACATCGGATGTGTTAGAGGTTCCCCAGGGGTCTGGATCAGGCTTTATTTGGGATACAGAAGGTCACATAGTCATCAATTATCTGATTTGTGGTGCTTCTGATCTCAGGTTTGTTGTTCAATTCTGTTGTGCAATGTTTCACATTATGTTACAGGCCCGCTTACCTTTTTGAATTCTCTTGTCTACTATCATTTGAATGTACTATTTCATTTTCTAAAGTTGATGCTGCTATGAGTGCTACCTCTCCATCCCAGTAGCAATCCTGAATTTTCTATTTCTTTTTTTACAAATATCAAATTTCGGATCCTGAATAATTATTGTGAGCGAGAGGGAGTATATTCTTTGGGTGTACTATGTATCTGTAGGTGTTACCCTTTTATATATCGAAGTGGAGAATAATTGAGATCTTTATTAATATAGCAACGTTGAGAGAATGAGGGTTAAGCAACCCCCAATACCTCAGCCCACAGACACTCCCCGCAAAGCAAAGTTGAGTGAAGGGTCACATGTCACATTCTCATTGGCTACTTTGTATGACAACATCTCTTCGATTAGTTCCCTCATTCCATACATTAATATTTTAGCTTGTTGTGCAATACTTTGAATATAATTTTCCTGTGAGACACTGAGTATAATATTTTGACTTCAAATGTTGTTAGTGATTTTACAGGGTCACTCTTGCTAACCGATCTACTTACGAGGCCAAAGTTGTTGGGTATGACCAAGACAAAGATGCGCTGTTTTGCGCATTGAAGTACCTAAAGGTAAATTGAGACAAGTACCTATTGGTCTCTCTGCAGATTTGCTTGTTGGTCAAAAAGTCTTTGCTGTTGGGAACCCAGTAAGTTTTGTTTTTCCTTCTTATAATACGGGGGAACCCAGTAAGTTATATGACCTATTATGCAGCAAAAGGCCAAAAATTGATGGTCTTGCCATTTTGGTTGTTGATATTTCTTTCATGATTTTTTTTAAAGGGATTTTGATGACATGTACTCATCTCTTTTTTTGCTAGATTGTTTGGTTTCAAACTTCTTGCCATATATTGAATTGGTGATAGGCTTTTAAGTATTCTGCAATCTTGTAGTTCCTCTGTTTTTTAATATTTGCAACACACCTTTTATCACGCTTTTAGAGGAGGTGATTAAATTAGGTAAACAAAGCTATGTAATTCAAACCGTAGTAACTTATCCCTTTTTTCTTATAGGTGGTAAAATTTGTTGAATTAATTTATCCGTTTAACTAGTCTAATTTCTCCCTTAAAATGCGTGCCAAAGGGGTATGTTGTAAGTAAGTAAAAACAGATTAAGTATGTTTTACCATGATTTTGTGGAGTAATGCCCAACTATAGTGTAAATTATACTTCTATTAAAGTCGAGATGCCACTCATAAGTTACTTCTATAAGTGACCAAGCATAAATTTTTGGAAAGTTTGACTTTGCTGCCTATGAAACACATGTATTTCACTTTTATTTTACTACCTATCAATGACAATTTGTTAAAAATCACTACCACTTAACGGAATCAGTTAGAGTTCCATTAAGTTATATTGTTTTTTAACAAAAAAAATAATAAAAAAAAATTACAAATAAAAAATAAAAAACCAGCCACCCTCTTAAAAAAACCCAGCCACCCTTCTCCCTCCCCCTGGCAGCTGGCGCCGGCGACCACATTTACCCCCTTTCCCACACCTACTCCCTTTCCCCCCCACCCACAAAGCTCATCTCCCCACCTACCAGCATCACCAGCCACACGCACCACCAGTACCATTACCCAAAAAATCAAAAAAAAAAATCCCCATCCTAACCCTAAACCCGCCTAAGCCCACAGCCATCACAAACCTAGCGCCACCCACCACACGCACCACCAGCACCACTACCCCCACAAACGCACAGCCACACCCACCACATGCACCACCAGCACCACTACCCCCACGCACGCACAGCCACACCCACCACACGCACTACCACCAGCACCATCACACACGCACAGCCAGTGAGCCACACCCAACACGCACCACCAGACCACCACTACCCAAAAAAAAAAAAAATTACAATAAATTGATGGAAAAGGGTAAATATACCTTATGGAATCTTCAACTTTTGGTTTATATGGTTAAATTCGACCATGAAAACCCCACTGGAGTTTTCATGGTCGAATTCGACCTAAAAAACAATTAATTGGTTGTGCCATGGTCAAACACGATCAAAAGCGGCCCTGGGGTGGGTGGCGCTGGACTTCAAAATCCGAGAAGAGAGAATGAGAAGAAGAAGGGAGGCGGAGATGAGAGAGAAAGAGGAGCGAGGCAGAGATGAGAGAGACCGAAGGGAGGAGGGAGGCGGAGATGAGAGAGAAAGAGGAGGAGATTCAGAGGAGAGAGAATGAAGAGGAGGTTGGGGTTTAAATTTTTTTTTTTTTTTTTTTTTGGTGGCCGACGGGGAAGTAGTTAGGGTGGCTAAGGAGGGAGTGGTGCCAGAAGGTGATAGTGAGGATGGCTGGATCTCACTAACGGAAATACTAATTGATTCCGTTAAGTGGTAGCAATTTTTAACAAAGTGTCATTGATAGGTAGTAAAAGTAAAATAAAAATTTTCCTAGGTAGCAAAAGTGAAACGCATGTGATTCACATGTAGCAAAAGTCAAAATTTCCTAAATTTTAATGATGTTTATTACGTGAATGCTGTTTTGTATAGGATTTTTGTCTTCTTCATGTGAGAAGAAAACCTCTAAGATGGGACAACACCTAGTAGCATGTGTTTTGAAATATGTACTTTTTTTAAAGCCTATTCAAATTGAGACTATTGTTGCTATTTGTAAGAAATAATTATATCTGTACTTTGGGCACTTCTAGTGTTTTAACCCTTATTTTCTTACACAATAACTATGAAAGGTCCCAATACTATCTTCAATTTTGCTTTAGCATGCATATTTTAAAAAAATGAAAAAAAGTAGCTATAATAGGGGTAGGGGTAGGGCAAAAGTGGTTAAATGTGAATGAAATTCTGAATGTAAACAAAGAGAGAACAAGGAGTAAGACTAGGAAATTAACACGACAATTGTAAATCTGATGTGAAATAACCCGAAAATAAGGGGGAAAAAACTCATTCATATTTCTTAAGCTTAACGCCTTAACTACTCCCCAGAGACCTCTTAGGTTTCCAAAGTATTGTGGTGCAATTGTTGGACTCGAAATTCGTGAAAAGTGTGTATTTTTTCCCCTTTATTTATTAATTTAATTTATGAGTTACCCTTGTTGTTTTAAAAAATTGTCAAGCTAACCTTACAGATTAATAATTCACCTAGTAACATTTGGGACTTGAATAAAATTTTGTGGTTTTAAAGGTATGGATCATCAGGTAGTATATTTAACATTATTGAAAGCATATATTCCAAAACTCAAGAATCGTAGTGATGAAGTGATAATGTAAACTTGTCAATTCTAGCTGCCAAAAAAGTGTGCTTCCATTGTATTTCCATTGTATTTCAACTGTTATCTTGATTGCAACCTAAGCTACTACTTAAGCTATCTGGCCAAGTAAACAGAAATTCAATGAACCTGGAATCATCTCTCTTTCTTAGCTAAAATCACAAGTTTATATGCTGTCACTAAAAACCTGTAAGTTAAAATATTTTGATTCCCCTTTAATGATAGCATTTTGGAAGCTAAAAAGGCTACTTGTGTGACCACTTACAATGTTTTAAATGTAGTGGGCTCAGAAGGGAAATCAGCTCTGCTGCAACAGGACGTCCGATTCAGGATGTTATACAGACTGACGTTGCTATAAATCCTGGTAACAGTAGAGGTCCAATTCTAGATAGTTCTGGCAATCTCATCGGGATAAGTACTGCTCTATACTCTCCTTCTGGTGCATCTTCTGGTGTTGGTTTCAATCCCTGTTGATACTGTAGGTAATTAATTCTCTCTTTGTCAAGATCTGGAGTAGGGGTGAAAGTTCGGTTTGCGGTTTGGATTATAGCCAAAACCGAATCCAATTCGAATTTATTCGGTTTTAGAAATCTCAATCCGAATCCAAACCGAATTATGATTCGATCCAATCCAATCCAAACCGAATTAATTCGGTTTTTCAAATTAGAATCCAATCCAAACCGAAATTTGTTCCCTTCTTTTGCAACATTTAAACTCGAAACTCGAACTTCACCTAGAAAATTCCTACAATCATTTCATGTTAACTACATTCTTTGTGAGAGAGTAAGATATTGATAAAGGAGAATTGAGAATTAGTTTTTTTTTTAAAAGTTTATTTATGAAAGGGGAAAGTGGTTGGATAATTTGAAAAAGAAAATTAGCTTAAATTATTGGGTTGAAATTCGGTTTGTAATTCGGTTTTCGTTTTTTTTTAAACCCCAAACCGAATCCAATCCGTAATCCATATTTTTTAATTTTTTCAATCCGATCCAATCCGAATTCGGTTTGGTTTTCGGTTCGGTTCGGTTTTAATCTGAATTACTTTCACCCCTAATCTAGAGGGTTTTTATTGGGTGCGGGAGTCATTGCTTGAAATCTCATCACCTGTGTTAATATATTCTCTCAATTTATCTATTCTCCCTTTATTTATTACTAGTTTTGTGCCCTGGGTATTACCCGGATAGTCTATTGAATTTTAGGATAAACTTTTTTTTAAAAAAAAATTTCTATATGCAAAATTTTAGAACATACAACTAATACAAACAGTGTATTAGATTTAGGATATATTGACGTATAATGTTAATCAAATTTTTTACTAATGGAATAATAATAACTTGACAATCATACTTGTAAAATAAACAATAGTACGTACTACTGCTCATCATAAAGTTGTGAGTGGTTTTGATAAAGATTTTGGGTCACCTAGTAGGTCTTAAAAGTAACATAAGTAGCATGACCAGAGCAATTAAAAGAAATTAGTTTGGAGTTGCACCTATTTTAATGTTATTGGATGATACTTCTTTTAATTTATTAATAACTGCAACTTCTTTAAAAAAAATTATGAAGTACAATTTAACAATCGGCTGTAAACTTTATACTATTAGTAACATTGCAACATTTGTAGCTTCTTCCAACTCACAAATTATATCCACTGTACATTTGCTTAAAAAAACTCAACATTTAAATTATAATCCCTCCTAATATGAAACCTTCTTTTTGCCTAAAATCTTTCGTAGCCGAGTATTTTTGTATTCTTTACCATATTGCTTAGTTACCTACCTTTTTCTTATTTTGATTTTAGGAAAAATTAACAAAAATAATCCAAACTATTGACTTTCTTTTCATTTTAATCCCAACTATGATTTAAATGAAAATAATCCCAACTATAGGGAGTCCTTCTCAAATTAGTTTATTTTACCTATAACTTGTGATACTGGTTATACTTTTTTTTTTTATTCATTTATTTAATTCAGAATCGTCACCCACCATTCACCTATAGGGGGTCCTTCTCAAATTAGTCTATTTTACATTATTTTTACCTATTAAATTCTTATTCATTTATTTAATTCAGAATCGTCACCCACCATTCACCTACAACCTCAGCCTCTTCCGTTGCACAACCACCACCCACAAAACACATGACCACTAACAACTAACCCCCTCCACCACCTCATCAATCATCATCACACCTAGAAATTTCAACATCTAAACTAAATTGGAGCTTTTATACCATAATCATATCACACACTAGACCATCATCAATTCTTTGTATCAAAGAGTTGGTCCTTTTTGGAATTCTGGTTCATTCCATCACACACTCCTTATCTCTCTCTTCTCAAACCACCATGGACACACTAACACCTCCTCGCTGCCACACCACCACCACCACAACCCCTCCGCCACCTCTTTATCACCCACCTGTGGCGTCCCCAACTCACCCCTCGACCCCACCTATACCCCGTTTTGCTACCAATCGCATCTTACGTCCACCTTCAACGCATCCCATTTCATCTCCTACTTCTTTGACTCCCCGTTCCTCTCTCTTCTCCCCTCCCCTCTCTCCTTGATCTCCCTGTTCTACAATCGTTGGTGTGATTGTTGTTGGGGGTGGTTGGTGGTGCTTGATGGTGATTATGCTGGGGTGGCCGAAAGGGTGGTTTAGGTGGATGGGCTTGTCTGGCAACTTGGCAATATACTTTTATGGCTGGGGGTTGATGTAAAGGTGGTTTTAGTGGTTGGTAGGTGGTGAGATCAAAAGGTGGTGGTAAATTATTTTTATAATTTAAAAATTTGAGAATCGACCCTTATAGTTGGGATTATTTTGATTTAAATTATTGTTGGAATTAAAATGAGAAGGAAGACAATAGTTTGGATTATTTTTGTTAATTTTTTCTTGATTTTATTTTGTTTAAAATTATATTTCATGGACTATTATACATAGCAATGTGTCACATTAATGCTTATTTGTCGTGTGCGCTATGGTGAGAAGTTAAAGAATTTATAAGATATTTATTGAAATTTATTATAATTTATATATATGAAATATAGGAATTTATTGAAAGTACAATTTTTAACCAAACTTTTATAGAAAATAGAATTTTAACCTAACTTTTTTTCATCATATAAAATCTATCCAATTTTTTATCATACATGTCAAACTAATATCAATTATTGTCTAGCGAAAAATTAAAACGCTAAGTGTTGTTTTCTCGTGACTTGGCTAAAAGTTTAGCTTTATATATTAGTTATATGATTTACCTTTTCTCTTGTGGAGGTAGAAAAGGATGACATATATTTTGTTATTTAATTTTTAACTTGGTGGCATCCTAGATCAGCTTGTGAAATATGACCGATCATGGGGATTAATTTGCCCCAGATCAATCAGTGGAGCAACTAGGAGTTAGTGGAGTGCTTGTGCTGTATGCTCCATCCGAAGTTCCTGCTGGCAAAAGCGGTATACTTCCGATAATTGTTAATATACACTGATAATACTGTTGTGCTTCAAGTATTCCACTTGGAATTTGACTAAGGTTGTTCATACGTTACTACATGGTCTTCTATCTACAAAAACTTGATGCTTACGGATGACTAATACTAGGGGATATTATAACATCAGTGAATGGCAAGAAAGTTACTAATGGTAGCGATTTGGACAGAATTCTTGACAGCCGCAAAGTAGGGGATAAGGTATGCTTCTAATATGGTCGCCTTATATTGAATCCTCGTCACTATTCTAGCAGGGACTTATCCTCAAACCAAAACCCGATGAGTCATAGTTAATCTTAGGATTTCCTTATATAATGTATGCCATGTAAATTTGGGAAATGGCCATTTGGTGGTAATCACCATGTATTATGCTAGGTAAATTGGGAACTGGCCGTTGGTGGTAATTGTCCCTTAATGATGCTTATTTGATTGATACGCCGGAGTGGAAAGCCAAGCAATTCTTGTACTAGTATAAAATTTTGAAAAAAAACGAAAATAAATAATCCCACTTTTGCCTGATCTGACAATAACAATCACACCTTTTGATTATTACAAGGCAATCCCACCTTGGTATACTTTAATGTATGCTTATTTGCAACAATTAAATTCTCAAACTGTAGGTTAAATACAGAATTTAATTGATGATTATAATTTAAATGGATTGATATATGAGACTACGATTATGATTGATACGAAGTATGGAGTATATTGATTGGTGTATTTATGTCCATGTTTACTTTTTTGCCTTTAATTTAAAACAATTTTCATGTTATGAAATAAAGGGTAATCAAGTACTTTTTATGTTGACAGCACTACCTTCTCCCTTTCCTAATTTAATAGAAATAAATCAACGGAATGAAACAAATAGGATGATTAAGTTGCAAATATTAACGTGAGTATAAAGTATCATTAAATAGGGAAATTTTAAAATTAATTGATGTAGTGGTATAAATATTTTTTCAATAGTATAATTAATAGGAAAAGTTGTCCGGAAAAATTCGACCTTTGGCTTATCCCCCAAAATAATCACACCTTTTGATTATTTTTTAATAATCTCACCTTTATACCCCATTTGCTTTAAATGGTCCTTACCGGTTATCTAACTTTTTATTACAAGTTACTAGACATGTGTCAGCCTTGATTGATCAAGAAATAAAATAACCATTTTTTTTAAAAAAAGAAAAAAATTAAAAAACATGAAAAAAATAATTAAAAAAAAAAAACCCAAAGGAATTCGGTAGTAACCACCGCCCCCTTATCAATTGCAGCACCATCTCCTTTACCCATCCCAATTCCGGCCACCAATTCCCGATTCCGGCCAATCCATTCTTCCCCCTACTTGTTTGCGGCCGACTCGACCCCAACAGTAGCCCACAAAACCACCAATAATGTAGCACTACCAATGCTCCTCCTTCGCAATCGCACCAGCCACAAGTTAGATACAAAATCACAAGCATTCTCACCGCTGCAAACACCAAACGAACCCACCATCACAATAAGTTGCGCCACCGACCATATTGCACCAACAATTGCCGGAAGATACTACGAACCAACTCTCAAACGCTCACAAATTAGCTCTAAAATCGCAAACCCATCATAGCATATTAGCATCCCCTCATAGGGAGAGGGACGATTTCGGTGGGCTGGGTAGAGGAGGTAGTTTCGGTGAGTGGGTTGGGTGGGGAAGGTGGTTTTGGTGGTAATTCTACCGAAGAGGGTGGCTGTTAGGGATGACAATTTACTTCGGGTTTGATTCGAATTCGAACCGATCTGAAGAATAAAGTTCGATCCGAATCCGATAACATAAAGTCTGAATCCAAGTCCGCTAGAAAAAGTCTAAGTCCGAATAGGAGGTGGAGCGGACTTGGATCTTGTGTAGGGTCCAATTCGATTAATTCAGAGTCCGATTTATTAGATGATATGGGCCTTTTTCTATTATTCTACACCACATGGGCCTTTTTCTATTACTCAAAAATAAATATGTGGTTATAAAACCTAACCAATTCATTTCCCCCCAAACAGCCGCCACCTTTCTTTTTCTTTGTTTCTTCTCAAATGTAACCCCTTTCTCTCTCCTCTGAACACCTATGTCCATCATTCCACTTCAATACTTTGTTCTTTGGCATTAATTATAAATTTACATGGATGAATATCAATTTTACATTATTTATTTGTTGTTTTAATTGTTCATAATGTTAAATAACTGGATTTGGATTCAGAGTTGGGGACAATTTGGAAGTCCGAAAATCCGGCGGACTCGGACTCAGAGGATAATGATCCGGACTCGGATCCGGATTCAGATCTGAATTTATAGTCTGTTTATAAATCGGATCCGAATCCGACTCGTTGCCATTCCTAGTGGCCGTGAGTTTTTTCTTTTAAATTTTCAATATTTTGTTTTGATTAAATTTTAATTTTAAATTTTTTGCAAATTACATAGTGACACATGTGCAAACAACCCCAAGTCACAAATTGTTTAGCCGGTTTCAAGTGACTTGGGACTACTAGGAGCGGATTAGGTATAAAGGTGAGATTATTAAAAGATAATTGAAATGTGGGATTATTTTGGGCGAATGAGCCAAAGGTTGAATTATTCCGGACAATTTTTCCTAAATAATATGTAAATTGTACCTCAAATATTGTGTCACTGTGAGGTATAATACTTTGTAGTATTACTAAGATATTCTATACTCTAATGGTATAAGATAAAATTTATAATAGTACTAGACTATTAATTCCTCCATTCTATTAATATTACAACAATGATATTTTTGCACTATTCGTCTCCCTTGTTTGAATCGCAAACCCATCATAGCATATTAGCATCCCCTCATATGATTTACACGTTAAACAAAAAATAGTCATGTGGGATTTTGTTGGATTCGTCTCATAAAATACTTTCATAATATCAAATTTTTGTAGTTTTTACTCTTATTCAATTATAAATATTTAGCGTATAAAATGTGCTTTGGAATAAGTAATTTTATCCATGTTGTAATATTAATAGAACGGAGGAAGTATTGGATTAGAAAATATAAGTTCAGATGAAATCATCGTTCTATGTGCAGTTTTTTTTTCACTTAATATCTTTAATTTCGTAATGAAAAAAAAATTTATGAAAGTTATATACTCATTTTGTGTTTTAATAAGTGTTACACTTTAACTGACACCTAGGTAATTTAATTGACTTAAATAAAATAAGATGTAAGTGGTTAGTTGGGGTATTAAAAACTTGTAAAAAAAAATAGCGGGAATAATTGTTTATTGAAAAGTAATGAATGTGAGAGGAAAGAAATAAGAGTATCCTTATTCATGAACAAAAAAAAAAGGTTCTTGTAAATATTTACAAAAAATTATTTTCACTCTCACATACACCAACCAAACAAATAATTTTCAACATCCTTCTCAAACAATGAATGAAAAAAAAAGTTCATGCTACTATTCACCTACCGCACCTCAATTTATCTTTTACTAAATATTGAAATACATACATAATTTACAATATAATAATCTCATATGACATGTAATTGATTATTATTACCGACTTTACCGTTATTATTACTGAAATTAGTTATAATTGTTATTAGGTGTGACAAGCTAAAGTCGTATCACCCAATCAAAAGTAATTCCTAAATCCTCTAACTAATGCAGATAGGGAAGTAGGTTTGAATCCACATGGAAACTAATTTGTTATTAAAAAGTGGAACTAAACTATTAGGAGTAAAAGTGGGAAGGAATAAAAGTAGGAAGAAAATCAAGGGATAAAAGACCTAGGGCATAGGTTCACCAATAAATAATATTTCAGGGTAAAATATAACAATCAATCATCAATGCATCAATTAATCAGATCATAAAGGGCTCTCGCTACTTATTACAATAACAGAATTAATTTACCGAACTGGTCATGCTCCTCCAATGCTCGTAGTCACTCCATAATATCTCGGAAAAATGTTCCAAAAGTGCAAATCCCTACAAAAGTCAACTAGAACTACAAAAACACTAGAAAACACCAATAAGTAATAAAAGTGGCTCTAAAGAGCCAAAAACACTACTAATTACGACAAAGGGACGAGGGTAAAACACTATATAAATTGGACATATCAAGGTGATTACGACTATCGTTATTTGCCTTAGCTACAACTATCGTAATTAGTGTTGTTAATTGTTTACGATTACCATAATTAGGGCCTATTCTCATATGTTGAAATTCAGTTCAGTTCAGTTCAGTTCAGCTCATAATTTCCTTCTCTTATAAAATATTCATTTCAATTCAGTCCAGTCCAGTTCAGTTCAGTTCAGCTTAGTTCAGTTCAATTCAGTTCAGCTGAGTTAAGTCAATGAGAACATGCCCTTAGTGTTATTAATTAATTTATTAATACAAATTAAACCTGGGCACGGGCCGGGTTGGCCCGCGTGCCGCCCGGCACGGCCCGAATTCAAGCACGGCACGACACGAAGTTCAACTCCCGTGCCACGGGCCGTGCCACGGACAGGGTTGAGAATTCCCAGGCACGGCCCGGCACGAGCACGGGCATGGCCCGCCGTGATGGCCCGCCGACACGACCCACAGGCACGGCCCGCGGGCCAACGGTAATGTTACCGTTTATTCTAGCTCCTTAATAAGCCAAAAAAACGGCTAAAAAACGGCTAGTTTTTTGCCAATTTGCTCCCCAAAAATTCTATAAATACTCACCTCCATTTCATTCCCAAATCACAAAATCACAATCTCTTCTTCTTATCTCTTATATTCTCTAAATCTCTAATAATCCTTATTTTCTTAAATTCTCTAATTATTCTCTTAAATTCTCTAATTATTTTCCTAATATCGGAAAAAATTAAAAAGTTCGTAATCGTAATTAGTGGAGCGTTGAAGCACGGTTGTAAGATCTAAACTAATCTTAAATTTATTATTGTTTTATTGTTATTATTAGAATAATCTTGTTTAATTATTATTGTTGTTAATTGTTATTGTTGTTGTTATAATTGTTGTTATTAATTATTATTATTGTTACAATTGTTGTTATTATTTATTTTTGTTGTTATTGTTATTGTTATAGTTGTTGTTATTAATTAATATTATTGATATTTTTATTGTTAAAATTGTTGTTATTAATTATTATTATTATAGTTAACCACTTTTTATTAAAAAATTAATTGTTAATTATGGCATCGAACAACCCATCATCTAGGTCTAGGGGGAAAGGCCTACTTATCCGTAGTAGTAGTTCTAGGGAACCACCAAATACAACGAGCCCCCAAATTACGAGTCAAACCAATGACCCCATTTACTTCCCCCCGGGCTATGAGCCATATAATACGTCGGGATTTCCAGCACCACCACTAAACCAATTTCCACTACCACCATACCAATTTCCACCTAATTATATCGGTGATCAACAAAACTATTGTTCTAGCCAAGGTAGCCAAGAAAGT